TGCCCTGCCTCATGTGGCGAGAGTATGCAGCCAGATCCTTGAGGATGAAAGAATTGATACCATTGAATGGCCCCCACGCTCGCCTGACCTGAATCCAATAGAACACCTCTGGGAAATTGTATTGTTCCATCAGACACTGCCAGGTTGCACCTCAGTCTGTTCAGGAGCTCAGTGATGCCCTGGTCCAGATCAGGGAGGAGATACCGCAGGACACCATCCGTCGTCTCATTAGGAGCATGCCTCGACGTTGTCACGCATCCATACAAGCACGTAGGGGCCATACAAACTAATGAGTACCATTTTGAGTTGCTGAAATGAAATTTCAGCACAATGGACTTGCCTGCTGCATCATTTGTTCACTTTAATTTTTGGTGTGTCTTTGAATTCAGCCCTCTGTAGGTTGATCATTTTTTTCATTTCCATCAAACGATGTGGCATCCTTTCCTTCCTAACACATTACCCAGTCCAGTATACAGTAGATATCCAGTATGATATTTTCCCCCATTGAGATCTGATGTGTTTTCAAAGTGTTCCTTTAATTTTGTTGAACCGTTTACTTTTTTTGTATTTAGTTTGTAACTTGCACACTTTTACTTGTAATTGCAGAGTGCTTTAGAAATAAAGGATAATGATCATTATCCCAACACACCCCTTGTTAACAATTAAATCATGAAGGGGTTAATCACATGCTAGGAAACAATTAAATATCAATTGTATAGTTAAGTCCTACCTTCAGATTCTAAATCCTCTAGGTGTATTGGTTTGACAGCAACCCTGTGACTGATGAGTTTATTTTAGCAGAAGACTTGGCCTGTAGAGGAATGTAAAGTTTACTACTGGCAGTAAAAGTGGCGGCAGTCTCCAAGGTTGTTCTGCTCTCATGGAAAGGATGTTTGCAATGGGCCTTTTTTTTTTTTTAACACCTTTACTGCCCTTTATTTGCAGCTGATAAGCCATGTGTGGAGTATACCTCTGTTGCAATCAGTACCACTTATTTATGACTTTCATGTACTGTGCAACAATAAAGCTGAGTTGTATTCTTAGCTATCAGCTACACACTGTCCTGCTGGGAGAGAGATTTGTATATGATTTGTATATATGTAGTGAATACTGTCATGTTGTAATACAAAATCAGCACCCCATAGATTTAGGGGCTATTCATACTTTAGTGATCTGTTTTTGGTGTGTTAACACACATGCATTACGTCACGTGTTACCTGTGTATTGTGTTAAAACAGACCATTCATTATTGCCAACATACCACAATGGGCAAAAAAATACACATTATAGTTTTTTCTTTGCAAAGCTGTTGCTGAATGCAATTGAATGCATCTGATTAAATGCAATAGGGATTCCTCCATCCATGCGGTTTAGAGGTAGATGGGAGAATCAAGGGATTTCTAGGCATATATGTCCAGTTTCAGTTTCTATTGACATAGCCCCCAGAGTGACATCTCCCAAGAGCACTTTCTCCACACAAAATGCCTTGGTATGCTCTTAGGAGCCAAGAGAGCAGCATTGTTTTGATTCTAAAGAAATCAGTATATGCACAGTGAGAGGGACATGGATGGGTTGGGATAGATTTAGTTTTGTATTCCAGCAGAAGAGAATTCACACAGGGTTGAAAATGCAGCAGGGGATTTCAGTGTACCAAAGGCAGCATTGTCAGCCCACATCAGGAAATTAGAAGCCGTTGGATTTCTGGCAGGCATTTTTTTTTTTTTTGCAGTTGCAGCCACCTAATTCTGGCTGCTAGGAACAGCTGGGGCAACAAAGGAAGGAACTGAAGAACTTTACATGGCAAATTTTAAAATTTTATGCACAGTTGTTGAAAAGGGTCTCTTAGCAGGCATTCCAAACACCTACTAGACATACCCTAATGTGTGGCCAGTGATTGGGAGTAGACACTTTCACACAAATGCTTGGTTAATATGGTAAAAAAAAAAAGTGATCTAGCGATATTTGATCATTTGATTGTGCCCAGTATCCTTCACCTATGATTGAAGTATTTTCTTTGAGTAGCGCTACATGTAATAGGGTCTCTGTATCCCCGGAAAGCAGTAAAAATCTGGCAGGGCTTTAATCCTTTCTCACTCTAGCAAAATTCTAAGGGGTTTATTCACTTTGGAGCTGAAGGATACAGCCGTAGCCGTACAGCAGCCGGACGGCCGAGCCGAAGGTGTATGCTTCGGCTCGACTGAGCCAAAGTGACAGCCGAAGCATGGAGAAAGGTTGGCCGTAGCCGACTGATCTCCATGCAGATGACAGCTTGGCGGAGCCAGACGTGATCTCATTAAGAAGTGGGACACCGGCACTCCAATTGCAAATCATAAACGTCTGTTTATTGATGTGAATGCAGCATAAATACACTATGTGCAACTTTTCGGGGTCTCAAAGGATCCCCTTCATCAGGCAGAAAAAGTGAGCACTTAGTGTTTTGCTGCATTTACGTCAATAAACAGACGTTTATGATTTGCAATTGGAGTGCCTATGTCTCACTTCTTTCTTTGATCGTGGTGGTTGCCAGCCGTCGACAGCCGCAGTACCCTATTCTACTACTTGGAGAAAGCGGTTTTGAGTGCTATGGGTTCACTGACTGTAGCCGTGATCTCATGGCTCGCTCCGCCCAGTTCCAATGACAGATTAGCGTCCCCAAATGACCTGGGGACGCTGATCTGTCATTAAACAATAACAACTGAGCAGAGCTAGTTGTGACGTCACGGCAGGCTCCGCCCAGTTGTTTATTGGCGGGGACCTGCTAGAAGACTCTAGCAGGTGCCAGCCAATAGGGAACTGTTGGGCATAGCTAGCTCTGCCCAATTGTGTTTTTTCT